TACGAATTAAATGAGCTCGACTCTTCAGTCCGCTCAAACGCAATCGGAGGGTTCCGGCTGAAATGATTGTTCTTTCAGACACATCTACATAAAAGCCGAGAAGTAAAATTGTCGGCAACCAGCTCCAGTTCGACTGGACTACCATAAAAGTCCAAGTCTGTAAACACTTGGAACACTGGAGCCTGAAGATGGTGCTTCTGTACAATGACAAAACGGCTGTCGACGTACCTAATTGCAAGATGATGAAAATTTGGTTGGGTCAGAACTTCTTGATAGGTACCGCTCCACGATCTCTCAATAAGCGTCACGGCCAAGTTCGAAAGTGTCGGAGAAATCTGACTTCCTATTCCAGCGCCCCTGATTTGGCGCCATACAACACCAAGTGCTGTGAAAAAGTGAGTCCGCTACACGTGGGTCGACCCCCTGCCTTAAAACTGAAAAGTTGAAAAACAGAAAAACAGAAAAAACGCAAATCCCTTGGAAACAGGGGTTGACTCTACACACTAAGGCCTATCGCCGCTGGTATTTGTCGGCCACAACGCGCTGTGAATATCTGACAAAGCGAAGCCTTTCTGTACATATAACCGAGATAGTGCGTGCAACGAACTCTGTGCTTGACAGGACGGAAATGAATATTCACGAATTAAATGAGCTCGACTCTTCAGTCCGCTCAAACGCAATCGGAGGGTTCCGGCTGAAATGATTGTTCTTTCAGAAACATCAACATAAAAGCCGAGAAGTAAAATTGTCGGCAACCAGCTCCAGTTCGACTGGACTACCATAAAAGTCCAAGTCTGTAAACACTTTGAACACTGGAGCCTGAAGATGGTGCTTTTGTACAATGACAAAACGGCTGTCGACGTACCTGATTGCAAGATGATGAAAATTTGGTTGAGTCAGAACTTCTTGATAGGTACTGCTCCACGGTCTCTCGATAAGCGTCACGGCCAAGTTCGAAAGTGTCGGAGAAATCTGACTTCGTATTCCAGCGCCCCTGATTTGGCGCCATACAACACCAAGTGCTGTGAAAAAGTGAGTCCGCTGTACACGTGGGTCGACCCCCTGCTTTAAAACTGAAAAATTGTAAAACAGAAAAACAGAAAAAATCGCAAATCCCTTGGAAACAGGGGTTGACCCTACCCACAAAGGTCTATCGCCGCTGGTATTTGTCGGAAAACCGAGATAGTGCGTGCAACGAACTCTGTGCTTGACAGGACGGAAATGAATATTTGCGAATTAAATGAGCTCGACTCTTCAGTCCGCTCAAACGCAATCGGAGGGTTCCGGCTGAAATGATTGTTCTTTCAGAAACATCCACATAAAAGCCGAGAAGTAAAATTGTCGGCAACCAGCTCCATTTCGACTGGACTATACCATAAAAGTCCAAGTCTGTAAACACTTTGAACACTGGAGCTTGAAGATGGTGCTTCTGTACAATGACAAAAAAGCTGTCGACGTACCTGATTGCAAGATGATGAAAATTTGGTTGAGTCAGAACTTCTTGATAGGTACTGCTCCACGATCTCTCGATAAGCGTCACGGCCAAGTTCGAAAGTGTCGGAGAAATCTGACTTCCTATTGCAGCGCCCCTGATTTGGCGCCATACAACACCAAGTGCTGTGAAAAAGTGAGTCCGCTGTACACGTGGGTCGACCCCCTGCCTTAAAACTGAAAAATTGAAAAACTGAAAAACAGAAAAATTCGCAAATCCCTTGGAAACAGGGGTTGACCCTACACACAAAGGCCTATCGCCGCTGGTATTTGTCGGCCACAACGCGCTGTGAATATCTGACAAAGCGAAGCCTTTCTGTACATATAACCGAGATAGTGCGTGCAACGAACTCTGTGCTTGACAGGACGGAAATGAATATTTACGAATTAAATGAGCTCGACTCTTCAGTCCGCTCAAACGCAATCGGAGGGTTCCGGCTGAAATGATTGTTCTTTCAGAAACATCAACATAAATAGCCGAGAAGTAAAATTGTCGGCAACCAGCTCCAGTTCGACTGGACTACCATAAAAGTCCAAGTCTGTAAACACTTTGAACACTGGAGCCTGAAGATGGTGCTTCTGTACAATGACAAAACGGCTGTCGACGTACCTGATTGCAAGATGATGAAAATTTGGTTGAGTCAGAACTTATTGATAGGTACTGCTCCACGGTCTCTCGATAAGCGTCACGGCCAAGTTCGAAAGTGTTGGAGAAATCTGACTTCCTATTCCAGCGCCCCTGATTTGGCGCCATACAACACCAAGTGCTGTGAAAAAGTGAGTCCGCTGTACACGTGGGTCGACCCCCTGCTTTAAAACTGAAAAATTGAAAAACAGAAAAACAGAAAAATTCGCAAATCCCTTGGAAACAGGGGTTGACCCTACCCACAAAGGTCTATCGCCGCTGGTATTTGTCGGAAAACCGAGATAGTGCGTGCAACGAACTCTGTGCTTGACAGGACGGAAATGAATATTGCGAATTAAATGAGCTCGACTCTTCAGTCCGCTCAAACGCAATCGGAGGGTTCCGGCTGAAATGATTGTTCTTTCAGAAACATCCACATAAAAGCCGAGAAGTAAAATTGTCGGCAACCAGCTCCATTTCGACTGGACTATACCATAAAAGTCCAAGTCTGTAAACACTTTGAACACTGGAGCTTGAAGATGGTGCTTCTGTACAATGACAAAAAAGCTGTCGACGTACCTGATTGCAAGATGATGAAAATTTGGTTGAGTCAGAACTTCTTGATAGGTACTGCTCCACGATCTCTCGATAAGCGTCACGGCCAAGTTCGAAAGTGTCGGAGAAATCTGACTTCCTATTGCAGCGCCCCTGATTTGGCGCCATACAACACCAAGTGCTGTGAAAAAGTGAGTCCGCTGTACACGTGGGTCGACCCCCTGCCTTAAAACTGAAAAATTGAAAAACTGAAAAACAGAAAAATCGCAAATCCCTTGGAAACAGGGGTTGACCCTACACACAAAGGCCTATCGCCGCTGGTATTTGTCGGCCACAACGCGCTGTGAATATCTGACAAAGCGAAGCCTTTCTGTACATATAACCGAGATAGTGCGTGCAACGAACTCTGTGCTTGACAGGACGGAAATGAATATTCACGAATTAAATGAGCTCGACTCTTCAGTCCGCTCAAACGCAATCGGAGGGTTCCGGCTGAAATGATTGTTCTTTCAGAAACATCAACATAAAAGCCGAGAAGTAAAATTGTCGGCAACCAGCTCCAGTTCGACTGGACTACCATAAAAGTCCAAGTCTGTAAACACTTTGAACACTGGAGCCTGAAGATGGTGCTTCTGTACAATGACAAAACGGCTGTCGACGTACCTGATTGCAAGATGATGAAAATTTGGTCGAGTCAGAACTTCTTGATAGGTACTGCTCCACGGTCTCTCGATAAGCGTCACGGCCAAGTTCGAAAGTGTTGGAGAAATCTGACTTCCTATTCCAGCGCCCCTGATTTGGCGCCATACAACACCAAGTGCTGTGAAAAAGTGAGTCCGCTGTACACGTGGGTCGACCTCCACTAGAGGGAAGGCTGAAAACGGTCTCAAGGGAGGAGGAGCAGGAACTCTGGGAGGAAGAACATGCGCTCTGGGAGGAATGTTTCCAACATACGGGTCCCAAAGACCAGTATGAATGTGCCATTGACCTGGTGGAGGACGGAGAGCTTGAGAGAAAGAAGAAAGAGCCGTTCTAACTGACCTACCTCTTTCAGATCTCGAAGTGGACCTCAGAGAATGGTGATCACGATGATGGTGACGGTGATGGGATGCTCGATGACGACGTCTTGTTCTGGATCTGGAGAAACTTGATGTTGTGCGTCTTTCCTGTTTGTCATCATCTGTTCCAACCGGCACCTGAGGTTGGACTGCTGACGGTCGACGAGGTACGGAGATCGTTCCTGGAATTGCGGCTGGGGCTACTACCGGAGTTGCTGGAGGAGCATGTGGTGTCAATGCCAGTCTTACTGCTGGCTTCGCCGGTGCCTTGGGTGGCCGAGGTGGAGTCGGGTCCACGTTGCCGGCCACAAAATAAACATTATACACCGGAGTCGACATGGCTCAGAAATCTAGAGAAAGGAAAATGGAAAATGTGTTGTCTAATATGACAACTTGCTAACTGTACCAGGATTGATCAGTTAGACAACTAACAAATGATAACGTATTGTTGCTTGCTCAACTGTACACCAAAAGGCATTCATGTGTACAAACACAATTCATCCATTTGGAATTCAATGCTGAGGCTTCAAGTGTGGAATTCAGAAAATTCATCTTATTGGTGACTATCAGTCGCCAAAATTGTCAAAAGTCAAATTCAAGTTCAAACTCAGTGGATTCAAGCTATTTTTGCCGGATAGCATACCGGGATCTATTCTCTCAAATGCACGCTTTGTGTCAGAGACACATGTTCAATCATTGCAATGAGCCACCGTGGCTGAATTCAAGAGTCAAATTCACTTGTGGATTCTCGCACTCCCAGGGGAGATACGACGCCTGGAATTCCAGGATCACGACCGGACTTTGACAGATCCCACGGCCGAAATACACACTTGCGAAGTCATGAAAGACGGTCTCTTTTCATGAATGCAAAGTCTGATTACCTCATGGTAGATTGAAGGCATCACTCGGCCATACCGAGTTAAAAAAGGCCAAGCTTATCCGTTGACATTTGAATGTCAGGTTGTTTAAAAGAGAAACCAATACGGCTCAATCAAAAGTGATCATGAAATGACTGAATGACGGCATGCAGGTTCTTGGGTTAGCCTGATCCCATAAAGTACTAACAGATACGAATATGACCACCAGCTATGACCCCAACATATTGGGTATGTCATCCAGGTGCATCATGCAGGTACGTTTTCACAACCTAAGGTGAGCGTCTTCATTGGCACAAGACTCACCAAAGGTCCTTGTGCCCCCTGCTGTGAATTAAGGTGCAATGGTATCCATAATTTATGGAAGAAAGCAGTTAAAAAACTAGTTGGTTGAAATCAGCCGCAAAAAGTGAGGAACTCTTCGGTACAGAGCTTGACACACACACACACACACACTTGCTCAGCAACTACAATCTTTAGCTTTCTTGAATGTCTTAGGCTAAGCCGGCTAAGCTTCAAATCCACCTCTTCCAGGCACGTTTGACAGGCAGGACCTTCGTTGTTTGCCATGGCAAAGCCATCAGCTTCCGCTCCCAGCAGCTTCAAGAGAGGCAGAATGTCGTCCTAGACTTTGCCAACGGTTGGAACGTGTGGAACATGCTTCAAGAGATACAGTGTGGTACAAAATTCCGACCCGTGCTTCAAAAGAGTTCAAACTTGATTGTTAGATATTGTTAGTGGGATACCGACAACATTCCAAATCAGTTTTCAAAAGAACCCTGTCTCTGAGACCCAGATCTGGAACAAAAATTTGCCGGGCATTGATGCCGCACCCTCTTAAATAGCTTCAACCAGAATCTGATGTACTGGTGGTTTGTCGGACTCCCAAGGCATCCAAAGCAAAGCTATGGCCACCAGGGCTCAGAGTGAACCTGATTCATGGCTGAACTTTGGATTGCTGAAAATACGATAAAATACGTCTATCCACAGAAAAACCAGCACATGTATGCAAATGTATGAATATAATTGAATATAATTGAATATAATTTACAGTAATAATATAATATAATATGAGCAAACTTCCAATGGCCTACGACGATGGGGTATTTCACCGTGGCTTCATCCCACTGTCCCTAATCCTGTCCCCTCATCCAATGAGATCGGGTGTCATTTCGAAGCTTCAGATCTTTGAGTCTCAGCACTTGAAGAGGAAGACCCTCTGCAAGGAACCTACGGGACATTTCGGACATTGGCATCCAATGTTTAACCCTTGTAGCAAACCTAAGCAATGGGTTTGCTCCACTTTCTTTGCAATTCAAAGATTTCATGATATTTCATGCTTAGTCACCTAATGGCACCTCCCCTTTCGGGCTCCCTGCATCTCCCCCCACCTCGAGATTGATAGCATTAAAGTATCTCCGCGGAATCTTGTGCCGAGGTTTGTCATGCGCTCAGTAACATCAGTCACCAAACGCGGGTTTCGGGACAAGTCCAGCAGTCGCAAAGAGGTAGCCTTGCCATTCATGCAAAGCGAGGTCCGACTTCGCAGGAGGTGAATCACCAGCTGCACATCTGACAGTCTGTTTTCGGCCAGCAGAATGGCTTCAAGTTCCGGGAGCAGAACTTTGCCCGAGTTTCCCAACGCCGGCAACAGCAACGCAAGGCCACGATCAGCAATCCCACAACCAGAGAGGTTCAACCACTGCAGGTGCCGTGCACCCGCCTCGGTCAATGTTGCTGCCAGTGGTGCCAACAAAGAGCTGAGCTGTTTGCCAAGCGGAAGACCCTCGAGATCCAAGATCCACACCTTTTGACCTCTAGCTGAGAGGAAGACCGACAAGGCAGTCATCAACATGCGGAGGTGGGAAGTGTTCAAGGCATACTTCCCGAACTGCCTGTCCTTGGCTGCAGCGTGTTTCCGGTAGGCCAAATCCTGGCAAAAGCATCGCATGCCATCTCGCAAGACAATCCTCACGCTGAAATTGGAGCGCATGGGACATAGTAGGAAAACGGGTGAAACCTACGATATACCTTTGAAGAGAATGGAGACAAAAATAATAACAAACATATAAAAAAGATTCCAAAAAGTAAATGAAAATCCTATCTATCAAACGTAGAAGAATCTGGCGAATCCCAGTGGGTTTCTCCCGCAAAGTTGAGCAGGTAGTCGACAGAGCAGCTGGAGGACAAAGACGAAGATCCAGCATCAGTAGACCATGCTGAGTAAGGGCGTCCAAGATCCCCTGATCCAGCTGGAAGCCCAATTGGAAACATGCGCGTGCATAGGCTTCACCAGCCCACATGGCAAACGCAGGCGCATGAACTATTGCTCGTCGTTTTATGATGTATATATATACATATAATATATGTTTCCGCTTGCTTTGAGAGTGGTAACATCAGCTTCCAAGTGGATTCGAGCATCAGAATATCCATTATTTGTTTTTCGTCTGCCACTCAATGCATGATTGGAATGATTTGCGTTTTGAGTAGTTCCGCCTCTTTGTGCGGGTCAGCTGGAATGGATATGTAGCAGCGGCAGTGGCGCAAGTGAAGATGAATTAGATAGAACATGATAGAACTAGACCGCATTGTAGAAACTCTTGGATGCTGTTGGATGCTGTTGGTACGTATGCAGTTGATTACAAGTGTAGGGACGCTCCAACTCAACCCCAATTGACTAGGGCATCCGGCCCGGATAGGCTCACTCGGGCACAGTCTTCGAACCTGCGTGTCAACACGTAGCGCGTTGAAAGCAGTCTTTGAGATTCTTAAATAGGTTAAAGATGGTTAAAGTATGTTAAAGGTATGTTCAAGTAGTCGTCATGCGCCGCGCCTTCGCAGACACCTCGCTGTGAAGCTTGGAGGAGGCCTCCGTGCGTCCAAGCTTCGCCACCTCAGGCGTTGCACAGGTCTGATCCGTGAGAACCCGGTCGGATATTACGAATGCATACTGATGCATACGCATACTAATGCCCAGTAAAATCTCCAGTAATGCCATGTATATAACCTATATATATATATACACACTATATAACCTACGACTATCTACGACTGGCAAAAAACGGGATGAAGTTTTGACAACTCGGCTGAGATCTGCCAAGACCTTTCAGAGTCCAAGTTGTCACACCTTGCGAAGTCACTTGCCAACTGGGCGCCACACTGCGCGGTTTTTCGCCGCTGCCGCAGCCCGCAGAGCGAAGGTTTGCAAGTCACCCGGGATGTTGCCACCTGCAGTGCGATGTTTGAATCTGGCCAAAACGTGCTAAAACAAACCAACATCATCCAAATCCATGTGATGAGCGGGGAGGGGAGTGTATTTGACCTTCCAAAAAATCCCAATAAAATGCGCAAAAATCCGTCGGCTCTCAATTTCGGATGCCATTTCCTGCCTTCAAGTTTGAAGGCCATGAATGCATAGTGCCATTGAGCCAAGTGGAGCTCCAGATCTTGGCTGCCTTTGGCCTCAAAGGAGGGACCATACTTTTTGCCCAGGGGCACCAGAGTATGAATTGTATGAACTCCACAGAGTGACTGCACACTTTGGATTCGCTTGGCATTCTGATATCCCCAACATTCCAAAACTCGATCTCCGATCTCTCACCCTGCTGTATTCATGACCTCCAGCAACTTGGCAGATTCCACCAGCACGTCCTGCACAGGCGGTCAGCTCGGCAATGCAGGGTGGGCGAATGGAAGAGATTCATCTGCTTTTTTCGATCCTTCAACCTGGATACCTGGTTTAGCGGCCTGAGATACCTTGGGAAATATCGACAAAACACTGAAAAACAAGATAGGTAGATATAGGTAGTACCTTTGTATGCAGCTTACCCGGTTCTTGCCCCTTTTACCAATGCCCCTCCTCCCGGTGTTGGCCCAAGACTGCCAAGGTCCAACAGAGATTTGCAGCTTCGCGGGCAGACATCTCACTTCCGGCAACCTAGCCATAGAAATCCAACAGTTTCGCAACTGCCTTGGAAACATTTTGAAACGGTATCTGAACAAGAGCTCTCTGAAACTTACAAAAACTTACGATAGACTATCAGTAGAGTTGCTAGTTACTATACTAAATCTTCAAAGGACCGAATCCTCAAAGCACTGCAACCTGGATTCTTCGCTTACACAAAGAGGTGCAATGTGTGCCCCACCTTCAAGCATGGTGAACTGCAGAGAGTGTCACTCGGCAATGACACAATTGCAAAGGACCATAGCAGGGAAACTTGCTCGTCCACTCGGAAAGCATCAAGACTCCTTCCGAGGGCAGTTCGAAAGATGAATGCTGACAGATGCTGACAGCTATGCAGGCTCTGACTTTCTTGTCAACTGAAAGATGCACAGGCCAAATGTCTGCGGAGGTGATGCCAAGAACTTCCTGTACAGCCCAAAAGACATCAAAAGACTATTGTCTGAGAAAGATATAGAACATTATAGAACCATATTTAGAAATACTGGGAGTTTGCGATTGTTGCATCCGGTTTTGGAAACTAAGCGCTTCTTGAGATGTTGAGTGACTGACTATCTCTGGTACTGGGGATCCATCTTACAAGCTCCCGTCGATTTTCTGGATCCCTCACATCCCATGACTCCTCTCAGCCAAACGCTTTGCCTTTTTGAAGAGGTCATGGTGAAGAAATGCTGCAGTTGCGTACCTTCAGCCACAAGAATTGAGAGTAAAACCTTGACAATGGGATGCGTTGATGCTCCTACAGCTGCCAGTCCCAAGAACTTTGGTTTGCAGATCATGGTCTTCGCTGTCCATCAAGAACTGCTTTCAATTGAGGCCGACTCTGGGACGCATATTTTCAGTATAGAATCTGACCCTTTCTGCTCAGGACCCACTGTGGCACTATACTATTCCAACTTTGCAAAGTGGAAACATGAGAAATTTTCGTCTTTTTGCAGACAGGAGATGCAATCGGGTAAACTCGGTGCTACCCACCCTAACCCCGAACAATTCTGGACAAGACACCCCCAAGATATGTTGGTCACTTGTCTGGCCGTGAAGTCACCTGGCGTTCAGTGTGGTCGAGTAGTTCCCTACGCCCTACGCTCCGTAGAAGGGTCCTGGCCTGCCGACACCAGCGTCCCGACTCGGGAGAACACCTCCCGATCTGCCAGGCTGACTGCTCCCAAGGCCCACACCAGATTGGATATTCCTGGCAGGACGGCAGGATGGCATAGGACAGAATCTTACAGGCATACTTCAAGCTATCTGTTTAGCATTGTTTAGCTACAGGTATCAGTGTTTATTGGCTTTTTTAAAATCGAACTTGAGATCTTTTCTGTTAGAATCGTACATGTGAAGCAAGAGCTTGAGTTGGACGTCTGGAACGAGACAATGCACTACACTAGTATTCTCAGCCGAGGAAACATGATTGTATGTGATTGCATGACACTGGTCTGAATCCTGAAACCTCACCAAAGATCGAGATACCCGGAGATACGAAACTGCACCCGATCATTACCATTTGGATCCATTTGGACCAAATCTGTATCTTTTCTGTATCTGTTGGATCTGCCGTGGCCTTGGTTGTCGAAATCTCTCAGCTTTGGCAGCCCTGCAGCGGCAATCTTCCCGACCTCCTCAGGACAGTTCCTACTGGAGTTCGACTCGAATGGTTGTCCCTGCCAGATCCTGCCAGAACTTTGTAGATGTTTGTAGCATGTTTTGTCAAGCAACAATTCTAATCTTTATATCTTTATATATCTTTATCAGTTTTGTCGAGTTTATTGGCGCTGCGAAGCAAGTCAGACCTTCAATGTTTTTTCAATAAGTTCAAGCTTCGCAGTGTTTTATTCTGAAACAAAATGAAACAAAGATTTGCGGGTGTTGGCTAGTTCTTGAAAAGACAGCAGTTTCAGCAAAGTCATCCTAGCCAGGCGAGGAATCTTCGATACTGGAACAACCCGCTCGCTGCCAGTCCCCCAGTTTTCTGGTTGCTCAGCCACCATTGCTAGACTCTCGGAATTGGAGTTGGCGAAGCCTCGGAGCAAAGATAGGACTGTCCAAGACTCCAAGATGCCTTCATCCCAAAGATTACAAGGCATCGACTGGCATTTGAATCCCTAAAGCTCATTTGTTTCGAGTAGGCCTAGGCCAAAGACTTGTGCCATTGGGCATTTTAAACGGCACGATCCTTACACAATTCCAACGTAGAAGTAAACAAACCCCACTTCACAATAAAGAAAATGTCGATTGGATAAGTGAAGCCTTGAGTGATTGAAACCTTCCCACATCATGTGTAGACTCAAAGTTGAATGTGATCCAGCAATGGAGAGCAAGAAAACAAAATCCTCATGTGTTGCGGTGTGTTGCCACCTGCTCTTTGCTCTGTGCTCCGGATTCGACCAAAGCGCAAACGACAGTAGCAACCACATGCAACCACTATCTATTGAACATGGGCTCAAGGAAAGGAGGATGACCTGCAAATCTAGAGGGTTGCACTTATAGAAACACAATAGCAGCCCAAGAAAGTGGGCATTGAAACACACAATTACACCGAGAGGCTCCATGCAAGCAGTGACAAATCCCGCGGAGGGAGGTCCTAAGCCAATGGTGCACATAGTATGAGGAATTGATGGCTCACTGTGGAAGATACTGCGCAGTTATATACTCTGCATGTTAGTGAACAGAAGCAAAGTGAACACATTCATTTCTGCTGTGAGTGTTGAAACAACAAAGGCTCCAGCATGATGCTCCAAGCCCCAGCTTGCTAAACCAAAACCCAAACAATTCTCCATGTGAATTCGAAAGCGGGGCAACCGGGACCTTCTTGCAGGCAAGTCTCAGTCCAATTGTTTTGCAGGCCTTTTGCAGGTAAATGCTCGTAGTAGACGACGTCTAGCTGAAGGACGCTGAAGGCCCAAAACAGCTGAACCAATTCGGAAGACCTCACGAATTTGATCGGCAAATCCGGAAGAAAATCTGAGAAACGCAAGGATACCTGGACTGACCCGGATACGTTTAATCTGACAGATCACACACCGTCACACACCATATTGGGAGTGCAAAGCATGCCAGATTTCGTACCGGAAAGATGTTCCCCCAAACAGGCTGCGTTCATACTCAAATTGAACAAAAAGCAGAGCTTGCTGTGGAAACAACGATGAAAACCTAAGCATTTTTGTTCGGTTTCATCTTCAGTGCTTGAATTCAACCACGAGTCTGTGCCTCCATCTTGATGGGTCCTGCACCCAGCATCCAGTGCTCAAGCAAAACGTAAGAACAACTTTCCTGAACAAGAATGCTCACATTCTCTCACATGTATACACACAAACGGTGAGGGCAAGATCTATTTAGAGTCATTCAATGTAATAGTCACCTTGAAATGATTGCTGGCATGTTACCACTTTACCTTGTTGTGTTATTATCAACTTGACACTCCTTTAAAGCAATGTTGTCATGTAGGCCAATGCTTCAATGATGTACATGGAAGGAACCATGAGGACCCTTGCAAACTGAGCAAAACTCCCCAAATTCAGAAGCCAAAGCATGAGAGACACCGTGTTGGACTTGTGATCGCTCGTACTGTATAATGACAGATGTATACAAATACATGTATGTATATATATATATTATTATACACATAACTATATAATACACATAACTATATAAACATATACATATACATGTATAGCTGCAGCCAAACGCAAACATTAGTCAGAACAACATTGAAAAGGCGTGGTTCTTCTAATCTATGTTGAGTTACCTTTCTCTCAAATCCCTCGGCAGTCAAACCTGAGCACCCACTCCTTTCTGTTATCCAGCTCCTCTTCCAATCCTCATATGGGCTGCTACTTGGTTTGAACATGTTTGAACGGCATCTCTACAATCGGCAAGAAAACTGTTATGGGGACTCTCTTGTCGGTTCAAAAGTAGGTTGCACCCTGACATTAGGGGTTGCATTGAAGGTCCAGGCTAGGCCAGGTAGTCCCCATCTTCTACCAAGAGGCTCTTAGCTGCTGCCCTCAGCAGTGTAGCCACGGTCGTTGCGACACCAGGACCAAGTGCGAGGCTCTCACGAGCAGCTGCAAGTGCACTCAGCACCGCTGCCAGGCCCTGAATTTGCCCAGGGCCGGCATGTCAGCTGAACTGGACTATTATATCTACAATATACATTTATACATACATATACATACATATAATACATATTCATATAAATATATGGTATTTATTTCTTTGTTTGTTTATTTGTTTATTTTTTTGTCTAGTTATTCATTCATTTATATTTACTTATTCATTGAATTATCTATATACATACATACAAGTGTGTCTGTTGTATACACCATATCTGGGTAGTTTGGGGTCGGTTCTTTGCCATATTCTTGTTTTTTCATGTTTTTTCTCTCCCGGTATGTCATGGTTTGCTGCGGAAATAGTGACCTGATCTCGCGTTCATGTCAGATGACTTTGCTTTCTCGATTTTGCTTTTCAGTTGCAAACCTCTGCAAGGAAACTTTGTGCAGTTCCGTCGGTTCCATCTTGGGTCCAGCTCTGACACTTTCACTTAGCAGACTTGGAGCAGAATGGGTCCAACTCCAGGTCAAAACCAGAGCATCGGTCAGCATCGGTCAGCATCGGTGCCTGTGGCTCCAAGTGCCAGATCTGCTTCTGGGCCAAGCCGCAGAGCTTCTCCAACATCGCCAGGCGGCTGTCGCCGGGGTTCTCTAGGCGTGTCAGGGCCCAAATGAGATTCGCGATGTCCTCCACCGGACTCATTAGGATTCAACAGGACTCAACTCATTGGGATTTCATTTTGCTTTGATCCGGTCATATCCGGTCTATCCATGTTCCATAGTTGCCATAGTTGCAATAAATAGGGCATACGTGTGAGAAATATGTTGTGTACAGGGTGGGTGACGAGTCATCAAATGTTGTCAAATGCTCTCAAATGCTGTGAAATGTTCAAGATGAATGAAAGAATTCGAAGAATTGATTTCTGTCCTGAGGCGCAAATGCCTCCGTCTTCATCACGAGCAGCGCATCGAACGCTTCGATGGGTGCAGAGACTCGAGCTGCTGCCTGGTGCGGAGGTCACCGCATGGGGATAATTGTCGGATGGCACAGTGTTGCGGTGTCAAAACAGCTTCTCTGGCAGCTTCTGCACTTAAGCTGGTGATATGATGCCACATGCCAGTGTATCAACGTGCATGATAGCGGATACGGTGATCACACTACTGACACTACTGGTCTGAATGAGAGCTTGTTAGTGACCTATCCTTGCGAGGAGTGCTTCACTGCATCCAGGCAACAACTGGATGACAGGAGCGGCGAAAACAGGCATAAGACAAGCAACGATCTTTCCCAAGTCAAGAATATCAAAAAATATGTGTAAAAATTGTGCTAAGCAAATGGATGGTTGCCAAGGCCCACAGCAAGTTTGCCGCATCCCTGCACAAATCCAGCGCTCCAACAGATTCATACGAGAATGGTTCAAGTATCCAACAGTCATCAGCCGCCAGCTACCAGGGTCAGTGCTGGGTCGCCCTTTGCACCCTTTCATTGTATGATTGGATATCCAATCGAAATATGATTGGATAAAATTAGGGAAAAATGGATATGATTGGATCATGTTGCGGGGTGCTCCCCAAGCTGCTCCAACATCCGTCGCTCAGTCCTGGCTTCAAATGGCTTTCGCCGCTGCAGTGCTTGTGCGCTGGCTTGGCTCACCTGGTGTGGGATTTGTGAAATGTGTGAAAGGGATTGAAAGGGAGGAAAATCTATGCAAGGGAAGTTTGGAAACGGAGAACTACCCTCATGAAGCACCTCCTGACACTTCTCATCTTGGCATATCACAATATAGCTCAAGATCTTGGCGTGTAGCTAAGACAATGCCAAGACAAAGCGGCCAGGCGGCCAGGCACCTCCTCCAGGAGTTTCGTTGCGTCAGTCTGAAGCGTCTTTGAAGGCACGGGCAGCACTTTGGCTGCCGCCCAAGCTCCCTGTGCGAGCCAGGGAAATCGCCTCGTGTTGCGCGTGTCACCGTGTCAAAAAAGGATCGTGTACCAGTGTACAGGTCGTTGTTGCTCTGGGGTCGATGACAGCAGACCTATGAGTTTTCTGCAAACGCTAATGTGACTCGTGTGGCAACCGGCTAAAATATTCTACATGCTCGGGACATCACTGCTTGCAAATCCGTGCAGACTGATAGGAGCACGCCTTTGGTTGAGCATATGAGATCCTTTGAGAAGGGACGTCAAGAGCAACAAAAAATCATCAAGGATGGGCACCGAAACAAACACCATCCGGCACCTGGAACGGTTTCGCTCCCGTGCGACCTGGCTGCCCAGGTACCTGTCAACCAAACTGATATATTGTGGTCTGACGGTCTGACTGCCAACAGAGGGGAGTGAAACTGGGAGTATCTGTCCATCTGAGGATCTACGTCTTCCTATTGTGTGAAATCATGCAATCCGCTAGCATGGTCCGCTAGTGGCTCATGAAAGTTCACGATCACAATACAAGCGCGCTCCAACATGTCAACAAGCATGCAAGTTCCTCAAGGATTTCGCCGAGCAAGTCTCACATTCGACTGATATGACCATAGTCGAACAGTGCCTCCGAGTCTATGAGTACTAAGATGGCAATCATCTGTTCTGCGCTGTACCCAAAATTGTTGCAACCCCTATTACTAGCAAATTGTTGATTCAAATTGTTCCAAATGTTAGCAAAGCAAGTGCTGTTGGAAACGGTCAAGGATATGCACACGGTCGAAGGGCGCCTTCGCAGGCCCTGAATGAGTTTCACTGCCAGCTCCTCCTCCTTTGTACGCCATGAAATGTCATGAAATGTCATGAAATGTCATGAAATCTCATGAAATCTCATGAAATCTCATGAAATCTCATGAAATCTCATGAAATCTCATGAAATCACAAATCATCGTTTGAGTCTTCGGCAAACCCCGCAGAACATGAACAGGTGAGTCAGGGATGATCTCAATTTCAGCAATTGAGGAGGAAGCAGTTCATGTTCTTGTTTTCCTTGGATTCTCTATCACTGAAACTGAAAACAGGAAAATCTACAAGAAGATGTTGCCCCCCCCACGATTGAACCCATTCTTCAGAGTTTCTGTCCAATGTTGTCCAAACCCCATTCAAGTAAGTCCGTCCTCGGGATTCTTGATGCCCAACTTGGAAAGTCGCTGGAAAGCCGTCAACATCGACACAAAATCCAAGTCATTCAAGCGAGGCTGAACTGCCTCGGGTGCATCATACTTTTTGGATGATCAGTGTCATCATCGATTTCAAAGTCAACGACTGTAGAGAATTGAGTCCTGCTTGGGATACCTCTCTTGCTGAAACTTTGAACTACAATTCTTTGAAGCTTGCTTACTTCACAATCTTGAGGAGACCGAGATCTGCCAAGCAATGCAATGCAACTTCCAGCAATTTGGCAGCAATCTGCCGAATCTGTGTCCAGCATTGTCCAGCTGCCTCACAGAGCTCTCGAGCTGGAAGGCGTCGCAGCTTGCGAGCGAAATCGCTTTCCTTCTGCCAGTCCTTGCGCGGATCTGGGCAGTGCCCAAGAGATCATCATAGATCATCCGTACACATCCACAGGATGGATATTGACATCATCTTTGTAAGACAGAATCTTGATGATTCGGGGTTGCTCCGTGGCGATTTCCTCCCTTGTGGCTATGATTCACCTATATTCACCTATAACTGGTTGGAAAAAGGAATGGCATTAGTCTTCAAGAGGTTCGGTAGGTCCTCTGCCAAAGTTCAATCATATACATTCATATATATATATATATACAACGTTATACAAAGTCGTAACTGCCGTAGCTCACCCAGTTTGAAAGCATGGCTTCGGCACTGCCACCTTTTGCAAAATGACTGGCCTCTTTCTGCTGGTTTGTGGCTGAAGTAGCCCAACGCAAACACCTATGACCTGCCATGTGCACACGACGTGTGCTCAGAATGCTGGCATATAGCAAAAGAGATCCAAAGAGAATAGTTTAATTCTGCGTAGTTTTGCCTGCAAAACCGCAATTTGGCCCTAGAGGGTTGAAGCTCTGTGAAGCTAGGGTCCCCCTTTCACCCCTCGTGATTTCTGCAAAAGACTTATCTGACCACTTGGATTGCACACTGGGTGTCTTGCTCATGCTATTGCTGTAAGACCTTTGCAGGATACTGAACAAACAACAAAATCAACAAAACCAGACTCATCACAAGCAATCGTTGCCCTGCCTCGCTGTACCTCAAATCCACAGCCAGCCCGTCTCGCTGTGGCTAGCCTGTGATTCTGGGAAGCAGCCCACAGCAGCATCTGTGATGTCAGTGAGAAAAACTGCAGATTCAAGGTGATAAGCATTGGCAAGTGAATTCACAAAATCCCAACGCGCAGAGACTGCAGAGAACAGATAGGCAACACCTGGGGATCTATCCTATTGGAACTAAGCGACAGTGACTGGGTTTCCCTTGAATCCTGGGGGTCCGGGACGGAAAAATTGGCATCTTGGAGGTCTTTCAACATAGATGGCCGCGGATATCGCCAACATAGCCCCGACATAGGCCCCAAGATGGGCCAACATGGGGCCAACATAGGCCAACATAGGGCCAACATAGGCCAACATAGGGCTACGACAGGGCCAACATGGGCCAAGATGGGGCCCACATAGGCCAACATAGGGCCAACATCGAACCAACATAGGCCAACATAGGCCAACATAGGGCTACGACAGGGCCAACATGGGCCAAGATGGGGCCCACATAGGCCAACATAGGGCCAACAAGACCATCAACATCAACATCAACATCATCATCATCATCATCAACAACAACAACAACAAGAAGGACAAGAACAAGAACAAGAACAAGAACAACAACAACAACAACGACAACGACGACAACGACGACGACGACAACGACAACGACGTATGGCTACTAGTCGTCGTAGTGGTAGTGGTAGTGGTAGTGGTAATGGCAGTGGTAGTGGTAGTGGTAATGGTAGTGGTAGTGGTAGTGGTAGTGGTAGTGGTGGTAGTGGTAGTGGTAGTGGTAGTACTACTACTAGTACTACTAGTACTGCTAGTGCTACTAGTACTACTAGTACTACTAGTACTACTAGTACTACTAGTACTACTAGTACTAGTAGTACTACTAGTAGTACTACTAGTAGTACTACTAGTAGTAGTCGTCGTCGTTGTCGTTGTCGTAGTAGTAGTGGTATTAATAGTCGTCGTCGTCGTAGTAGTAGTAGTCGTCGTCGTCGTAGTACTTGTCGTCGACGTGCGCAAAACAGGGACGCACGTACGGCCATTTCTCTGCCGGCGCCCGGCTGTCAGGCGTAAGCCTTCAAATATACAGTATAATACTTAATATATATATATATATATGTATATTCATATCTATATTTGTATCTATATTTATATCTATATCTGTATCTATATTCATATCTATCTTTATATCTATATTTATATCTATATTTATATCTATATCTCTATTTAAATCTATATGTATATTTGTATTTATTACTATACATTTACTATTCTACACATATTATGTGTATATATATATATAATGTATTCTAGCCTATGACTTGGGAGCAAAATCTGTGCTATCGAAGATGAATTTGTTCATCTTCACTGAAGCTGATGGGGGACACAACCAGGGAGGATCTGAGACCCCCCACATTCGTCCAGCCAATTGCGAAGTCTGAAGCATGGCTTCGCCGCGGAGCCATGCTCTTTGCACTTGAAGGGTGCACTGTTGGATCAGTCTCAATTGACAGAAATCCGACCTACGAGAGCTGTTGAGCTACTGGTAAAACTCAACGCTTCAGCATTTTTTTGCATTGGACAAAATACCCTACACACTACACGCCCTACACGCCCTACACGCCCTACACACCCTACCCAGCACGCCGTACAAGCATAAAAGGGTGTTTTTTTTATGTGAAGACTTGCAAAGGCACTGAGCCTCGAATGAGCGATTTCTCAACGCTGGATACCTGGGCTACCTTCATCAATCTTCCAGTCATATTCAAGGCCAAAAGTCTGATCAAAAACCATACAGCCTATTCTTTGTCCTCCCCATGCTGTAAGGGTCTCATTCAACAACCTTATGGTAATCCTCGCACTCTTGAATTCATCACAGGAACCAGCTCGAGAAGCTGAGAAGCTCGTGAAACCACCAAGGCACGTTGGAAGCTTAAAAAAGACAATCTCTTGAATAATACGACCTGTGGTACGATGGGATGCTTTCCAAAATTTCCAAAGTCATGGGGTTACGAAGCGTCTATTCTTGGAATATGTCCACTGGTAGTGGACGGGCCAAGAGTCATCCATGATCAACTTGCTTAGCTACTTGACAGCCCTCCAGGTTCTCTGGGGGAATCACAACCTTTTCACGTAATTTCATGTGAGCATCAGCGCATGTCTTTTCTAACAGGAGCCAATTGTCTCTGTTCTTCTTCATTGGCAGCAAATTTTGGTGCCTACCTCTGGTAGGTTTGGAACAGCAATGGCTTGGCAGTCGCTCCTGTGCAGGTCATTCGAAAGGTCGCGAACTGTCCAACTTTAAGCCGACCCGTTCACAAAGCCTCCAGGCTCAGTCAGGACTGAATTGGCTCAAGAGACTGGTCACCATCTCCATTTTCTATTCGTCCCATTCTGACCATCCCAAAATGTCGCAGTTCAATGCACCGGAACAGTGGGTGTCACAGCCCTCCAGGTGGCGGCCGTCAGAAACGCCGTGGCCACCAGGCCGAAGAAGTAGCGATTCGTCGAACGCGTCGAGGTACGGACGGCCTCCATGGCACTGTGCAGCCCAGCAGCGCCGAAGACGCAGGTGCCTGGGACACATCCGCCGCATCGGGAGATGAGATGCCAACAATGTCGATGTATATATATATATATATGTATATATATATATATATATGTTTATATAGGTCTATTATGATGTGTAATGTATGCATATATATATATATACATGGTAGATGGGTGTATCGGTCAATATTCTTGGACCCCTGAAATGTTTTATGATAATGACAGTAACAGAGCTAGTTTCGGAATGAGCAAATTTGTGGCTCTTTATCGAAGCTTCACAGGGCTTCACCTTGGCTCCAAACCCCGATTTCACCCCATACCGTGTGCACCGTGTGCCTAGGACACGGCACTGCATACATTCCTTCTCTCCAGGCTGTGGCCGTCGAATTTGCCCTGCGCTGACTCGCTCCAACCACGAATCCACAGCGCTGAAGAGCATGCAAGCAGACTTTGCGAGTGAGGAGAGGTGAAATCAATGTGATCACTGTCACTGAATCACGAGCAGATGATCATGTTTGCGTCATTCAGATGCAAACAAATGCAAACATGGTGGTAGAAGCTGAATAGGGATTTGCAAAAAGAGTACACGGGGAAAGTTGGCAGCGGTTCCTTTTATCCAAATTCTACAAGGAAGAGATACCCAGGCTTGCAAAATCTCCATTAGCTCAAGTTGCACAAGTGTAATACTGTACTGTCAAGCTGACAAAAGTCCAAGAAGACATTGTTCGTGGTGGATGCTTGTTCTCCGTTTTCTCTTCAGAGCCAAAACGGCCATAAGTCCCTTCCACCCCATTTGAAAATGATCACTATCTTGGCCAGCTGTACAATCATCCAAGATATGACTTGAGATCTTAGATAAATTACCCCTTAGATCCCCTCATCCATGAATGTATGCCTGTACAATCAAGTCAAAGAGGTGCTGAGTCAAAAGGTATGCCATGTCAGTGGACAAGATTGAAAAGTTTCTAGGTCTTCCACCAGACAATGGAAAATATACAAAGCCTCAAAGTCTCATTCACCCTTGCAGGAATTGCTTTTTCCGCAGGTTTCTAGGCTGCCAGATATATGAGTCAGGTCTAACTGGCCTTCATCTCCAAATCAAGCGCCAGCCCCTGCCAGAAACAACAGCAAAATCTGGCATGCGTCGTCTTTGACATTTTGAAAAACAGGGTCTAGGGACCTCTAGGGTTCTCAGGATTGGCTAGACGAGATCGAGAAAGTCAAGAGGGTTTCCAAAACCCGGCTGTCACCGCACATCAGCACGACTTATTACAGTAATTGCATTGAATGATTGAATGACTATGACTATTCTGTTCCGATCTCTGAGCTGCCTCGCCTCTGCCAGCGCCGAGACTTGCGACAAGATACACAACACATTGGGGACACACAACGGCGCCTCATCACCTGTGATGTGCTACACGGGACAAAGGGAGAACAGGGTCACTATGGGTCACTATGGGTCACTATGGGTCACTATGGGTCACTATGGGTCACTATGGGTCACTATGGGTCACTATGGGTCACTATGGGTCACTATGGGTCACTGAGAACTCCATTTGTCAGCCGCTGTCTGTGAAGCCCAAAAGTCTAGTTCAAAGCTTCGGAGTGCTGCCTTACCCTTAGGGTTTTTTCATTCTACGATGGTTTCAAACACACTTCGCCAACGGGTGGGTCAGTACAGCGTATATTTATTACCAGGATTTGCCAGGTAGACAGTGTAGACAGGTAACAAAACAGGACAGAGTTCAAGTGTTCAATCTTTGCTCTCATCGAGTGATGCTGCTTCACCCCATGGCCGTCCATGGCCCAACCACTCACCTCTCGTGATCACAGTGTGCGGAGCAGAACCCATCAACACCTCTCCAGGTTCGAACAAGATCTTGGGGCCAAAATGAATAAGCCAGGAATCCAGGAGACTGACGGGGACTTTGGATCATCTAGCAAGTCTAGGGATCTGATCAGATTCACGAAGATCTCATTGAATTCAACATATTTCGCAGGAAAATCAGGCAAATTTCAGTTGGCATAACTGGTCCATCAAGTGGACTGTGCATTCTTTTACACTTCCTTCGAGCATCCTTGACTCACATTGACCTCTTACGTATCTTGTGTTGAAGATTTCAATTTTCCTCAAGTCCCACCATGCGAGGCTCCATGGCACCGTCTGTGGCTGTGGGAGGAAAGCGTTGGGACGCCACTTCAAAGCCAGCAAGCGCCGCTGGCGGTCGTATAAAACAAGACCTTACAATGCGGGCCAAGCCAGTAGGGAGCTGAGTGCCCCTTGTGAACCACGAGCTCAAAATCTGTGTGTTTTTGAACGGTTGGAACATCAGTACATAGTGATGGCTAATGACATCAAGTCTTTTGGCCTAGGTTGAGTTTTTTTGTGCCAAGAGAAAGATAGCTCGCACTCGTTTCTAAGGGTTGGGAATAGGCCCATCAGACCTTTGCATGGTGAGTTAATCGTGCGCCATGCATGCCCTGAGAAGTTGGAAACGTGCATTATGTGTATTTCCTTTCTTCTGCCTCTGTTGGAAACTGTCAGAGAACTATCGTGCTTCGAAATCAAGCTGAGACTCATAAGCTGGATAGCTTCTGCTGAAGTCCTGCAAGTCTTGATGGCTTTAGGCCATCTGACTCTCAAATGTTAAAAAACGCGGAAGCTCAACCCTAGACTTCATGCCTTTGCCCTTGCTACATATGAGGGCGGGGATCGCATGTATCTCTGGGATGAATCCGAAGTTGCAGAGGGTAACCTCAGTTTATCAAACCTACAAGGCAAAACAATGCGTGTCTAAAACGAAGACTGCCGATGCTTGTTTCCGCCAGGTCCGCGAGGTCGAGGACTTCGACGTGCGCACTTTCGAGTGCATCGGTGCGCTAGCGCAACTTATCAAATCTATCGTAGAAGATTTAGAAGCTTGATCAAAATGATCAAAGCTGTGACAAGTCTACAATCCATATTGATGCAATGATTATGACGGTCTTTGATATCAGTTTGATATCAACAACATTCAATGACTGTTAGTAAGAAGTTTCGCAACATTTGCAGGCCTCGTACCAGTTCTTCTGCTGCCTCCTGTGAGACTTCTGCTGCTTTCGGTCCCTTGACCTACACTGACTTGATGCCCGCATCGAGGAATGGCCAACTTCAGAACACCACTTTCATAATTATCTGACCGTTCATATAATAAATAATAATATATAATATACAATATATAATATATAATATATAATATATAATATATAATATATAATATAGAATATATAATATAGAATATATAAATATAGAATATATAATATATAATATATAATATACAATATCAACTATAAAATATATAATATACAATATATAATATATGATATATAATATATGAGATATAATATATGTAATATATATATATATTATATATATATATACATATATTATATATATACATATATTATATATACATATATTTGTCATATGCGATCATACCCTCAGGTTCAGGCAGGGCAAATGCAATCAAAATGTTCAATTCTCACAAACGTAAACCAAAGTAATCAGTTGGAAGTTCAGTTCTCAATGCATCCTATGCTCCTTTGTCACATCAACTGATATACTTAGGGAGAAAGAAAAATCGCCGCACCTGATCTTTGCTTTGCTCCTGCAGCTGCATAGAGTTGTTGACCGTGAATCCTCCCAAACTCTATCTTGATACTTGGGTCAGCTTCAAGTACACATGTATCTGCTCAGCGCCCAAGCGTTCTAGATAGAGTCTATTCTTCTCACCCTCTTTCGAATAGTGTTTGAACACAAGTTGTAAAAACAAAGCCCCAACAAATACTATCCTTGCAATGCTCGTCCTGATGGCAGCTTTACATGACCGTATGAGACTCAAAGTAGAAAGAACGGGCAATCCAAGAAAAGAGACTTCAAACAGATCCTGCTGGGGCAAAAGTTGCAGGATCACGTCAACTGCAGCGGTGTCCAACTGGAAAACACCCCGCCAATTTGTTTCAAGACCTTCGGGCAATGGACAGTAGTGGAAATCACAGAACAGCGGCGCCAACATGTGCGCCAATCATGATCTGCACTAGCTGATAATGGCTGATAAGATGAAAAGTAGTGAAAAGTAATGAAACCAATCTGAAACCAATCTGAAGCAATCTGAACCGATCGGATGAAATTTTAGCGACCAGGCCGCCAGGCCGCCAGGCCTAGCATTCGTTTGCGGCAGAACTGCAAGGCCACCAGGGCCCGTTGCCGTAGCCAAGCACAAAGAGTTGCGCCAGGGGATACGATCAACATCCCATGAGGATCGAAGCGCGTGGACACCTCAGGAGGTGCTCCCTGTCAAAAGGCATCTGCACATGTCACATATGCCACATATGTAGCCTAAATTGAAAAAAAAACATGAAAAATATGAAATGGATTGGAATGAGATGGTGTGGAGAAATCTTGGGCAAGTCACCCTCCAAAAGACATTGCCAGTAAAAGAGAATGTGGCACTGAATGGCCATGACTTGCCAAGTTGTTACATAGCCATAAAATATCATAAAATGCTATTATGAACTTATAAACTTATAAACGTATCCTAGTTTTGGCCAACCAGATTTTGTGCTACGACACGGAAGCTCTCATTTCGCCCCGAGACCAACTCTCAAGATCTCTCAGCCATGTGACGGGTCAACGGGTCATGTATGTTTCGTATATGCAAGGCATGGGATAGGCATTGGGCATCCTTGGGCAGGCCCAGGCACCCAAAAGCGGCAAAGTCGCGAGACTTTGGCGCCCAAGGTGCTGAGATGCTTCTCAAAGGCTTGTCGCAATGCCAAGCGCTCCTCATGGCTTCACGGTGAATGGCACGCATGGGCAGTATGGACGACTTTGTGGCAATGTCCTTAAGGTCTTTATGATAACTTATGTTTCAGCAATTTTAAAGCAACGGTATGTCGACTATATTGACATATATCGACTATATATGTCGATTTTACTCACCTCCTCCTTGATCTTGCCATCGATGTCCACCAGGAGAGCTTCCTGACGCTTTTGTCTCCACCATGTTACACCATGTTTCCATCCGTTAACTTGCAGCAACTTGCGGTTGCAAAAGAAAACCGCATGAAGGAAGCCTGTATAACTGTATAACCAAACAGTCAACTCCCTCAGTTTCCTTTCTTTCTGGGTGAGAATGCGTGCACATTATCCAAGCCGCGAAGTGTGTTCAAATTATTCACGTTGGGGGAACGTCGGCAAAAGATCTATCTTGAAGCGTCTTTACTTCCCAGCTGGTCTGCGAAATAATGCCAACGACAAACAAGAAATGCGCGGTGGTCAGGTGCTGCAAAGCCGCCCGATGCCAATCAAAGGACTGCAGCAGCAAAAGCGTGCGGCAAAATCCAATGTGTGCACCTTGCCACGAAAACTTGGAGAATGCCTTCTGACACAGAGTTGAAATATATATAATATATAACATGAAATAATCAGAAAGAATCCCTCAAATTCAGAAATCTCGGTCCAGGTGTTCCAAAGATGCAAAGGGCTCTTTGCTGGTGATCAGAAGGCGCATGGCTTGCCAAGAAACTGCTAGGTACATCGTAAGGTTCAGGATGCAGGAAGACAAACGCCACCAAATGCTCCGCAAACCTTGTAGCGGCTCTTATTTCGGCATGACAAAAAATGTGCACCTAAACTGACTATGATATGGCTGATGTTGCATTCAACTGCCAAGTCCCAAACGTTCCTGCAGTTGCCTGGTCCGGAGCCCCCACCCTCTGGAAGCCCTGCCCTGCCCTGGTGAACTTTTCATCTCCAAGGAACTCCTCGTATCCGGAGAGCATCCTTAGCAGCTGAAACTGGTGGTCCTTGCATGGAGAAATTGCTAGTGTAGAATGGACCGCTTAGGACCGTGGAACTCCAAACATTGCAGGACTCTCTATTCTCACTACCCAGTGCAAATGTGCGATGGCATTGATCCATTGAAGACGGAGAGTCTGTGAGGACATCCATCGCTTGAAGAGTCGTGTCGCTCCAGCCAGCGCCGGATGCTGTAGCCTGTTCTGTGAACACCAAGTGGACATCTCTCTTGAAGACAAGGACAGAAATCTTTGCCATGACTTGAATCTTCGAAATGGATCCAGTCAAACACTTCAAACGTCTTTCACAAGGAAGTTAGATAAGTTAGGTAATTCGCGATGCCGTATTTTGCGTTTCTGCGCCATTAACAATTGTAGGTATATAAACTTTGTTAGCCAAACACCGTGCATTTGGTTTCAAAAGGCCAATTGTCTCAAAGTTTCAAAGGATGGAGGCAAAACCTGCACAGAAAGCCTAGTGGAATCTTGCCCAAGTGGATCCAAGTGGCGCAAGAGCATGCAATGCTCCATAGATCCTCGGCCGCCACCACAGGCTGCGCAGCCTTGCAAGTGCCTCATCTGGCACCGCTGCATTTAGGGCGGGTGCCTGGCGCTCCGGCTCCGACAGCTTCCTAGCGGTCTTGACAGTCTTACCACTCTCATCCAGCAATCTAGCCTGAGTGTCTTGCAGTGTCTTGCAGTGGTCTTGACTTTGATGTTACATCAAAGTTCACATCAGAACCGGCCTGGGGATTCGTGACCTTCTGCGCCACCTCTGACATCTCATGAGGATGGAAGATCCGAAGTCGGAAAACAACATCGGGATATCGCCTTTGACCAGCTGACGTGGCGCTGACTTAGTGACAAAAAATAGAAACGTCAGGCATCCTCGCACAATCTTTCACTCCAAACAAAATTGAAACGTTGAAAGTTCTGCACCTGAAAGATTTTGATAGGAGTCCTTCAAATGATTTTTGGGAAGTTTGGGGGATTTCGGACTGAAAGATTGGGGATTTTGGATCTGAAAGATTGGCAGAATCTGTACTTTATACAAATCAGTAGTAGCCAGAATCTGCCCGTTGCCAGTGAACAATGGTCTAAAATCAACCAACCTTACGATGTAATAGTGGGAATAAGTCTGTGCAGGTTGAAGCCGCTCTTGGCGAACACCAGTATTCTGCAAACTTGGCAGCTGGGCCTAGCTAGGCTATACGAGAAAAATGGCCACCCACCCAGAAAGTCGCAATGTGACATGTCTTGGGAGCCTTCCGACCAAGTTCAGCCAAAGGTCACATCCAGAAAATCTTCAGTTGCATCTGACTCGATGCCCAAGTCAGAAGCAATCTCATCGCGAATCCTGAGCCGTGGTGGTGGCGTCAACCGCCTCTACCCTTTCTATCCCTTTCTTCTTCTTCTATATTATTCTTGTGTAGTCATTATGAGTCATTATGAGTCCAGACCTCAGGCAGTGGTCCATCATGGTCTATCAATCTGTCACAAGCAGGCTTTGTTCGAAAACCCTCCACGCAGTCACTTCTGAAACCAGTTCAATACCAGTTGCTTCAAGGCAATTGGCTGCTTTAGGGTCACACCGATATCCAGTTCCAAAATATGACAAAATGATGAAGCAATAAAAAATGATAGTTGAGATTAATCCCTTCCCCCTATTACTAAACCTCCCCCAAATACAAAAACTAGGGTCCATCTCCAAGTTTGGAAAATTTCAGATTGGCCAATTTGACTTTAATCGATCCCCTTTAGAAAACAATTTAAAAATAAAGCTGCCATTTGTGGGTTTTGCCACCTAATAATAAAAACTAGTCAACCCTGGGGTGTTTATTATTAGGGTCCGTCCGATTTTATTTTGTTTTTTATATTAGGGTTTTTAATTTATCATTAGGGTCCGCTTCGAAAACCAATTTTTGGCAATATGTTAATTGCGTTACATAAGGAAATTTAATTGATTCTGACATTGAAACAAATAGTTTTTTTTAGGGTTCATTAATAGGGCCGCTTCGAAATCCAATTTTTGGCAATATTTTAATTGCATTATAAAAGGAAATTTAATTGATGTTGAAATCGAAACTGCGAATCCCAAAGCCGCAAGAGCGCAGCTTTTCTTGAGCCATAGCAGCGATGCATCGTGTTTGATGCGTGTTATCCTTGCGCAGGGGGCACATGCCCAACAAGCGAAAGACCATTGGTCATACTTCCAAAACCACAAATTTCTGGCATCCACTTGGCCGCAGATTCCAAAAACGGGATTCTTTGACCCACCCCTCAGATGTCTTTCTCCTCGTTCTCTGGGCCATGTGGGTCTTCCTGATCCTCCTCCACCTGATCTGTCACCAGCGAGAAATCGCTCTCGCCATCTTCTTCTTCAGACTCAGACTCCACCGCCTCCTCGTACGTTGACTCACCATCAAGAGTCGCACCGTGCAAGAAGTCCCACTACTGTCGACCTGGCATCCTGAAGGTATCGACTCCTCCGTTGAATTGGGGTCTCGGCAGGCCGATCTGGATGAAGATTTGGTGGTAGCGGAGCTTGAAGAATTCGAAGCAGCGCTTCCCTCTCACTTTCTCCTTCCCGGATGGACATCGTTGGTCCATCATTCAACCTGTTTGCAGGTCGATGTGGTGCCATAACCACCGTTGCATACCCATGAAGACCTTTACCTCGTCCCTTGATGGTTGGTCGCGACGACGACGAAGGCCCTCCTGGATTGGTTGGAAAACTGCTGGAAGTTGTTGAACCTGGCGGCGCATAGGATCCCACCGGTGAAGCCGTTGAGCTCGGAGGGCCAAGTGAACCGGCAGGTCTAACTGAGGCCAGTCGCCGCCAATCGCGACCATCTCCAGTACCAGACACAGACCAGCTTCCATGAGTGAAGGAACTTGACGTTGCAGTCCCCGTTGCGTCAACTCGGGCGCCACCAGCAGGAAGTCCATGAGGACAGGCCCCAGCACGACCGAGTCCATGCGCCGGCATTGATGCCATTGCGGCAGCACCTCTTTCAGTTGCCGACCGCTGCCCCCTTTTCTGAGCTCCCGAAGACACTACCAGTTGCTTCGGCATGGGTGTTGGGTTTTCTGGAAGCGTCCACACCAGCGAGTCCGGGTGAATCGTCGGAACTCCCGATGAATTCTGCCCGCATTGAGAAGACTCTGCCAAACGGAAAAACGTCCAGCCCCTCCATGTTCCAGTCACCAGTGGTGCAGGCTGCACCTGCCCATTCTGCCATACGTCCTCCTGCACGACCTTCTGCCAGCCCCCGGTACCTGAATACCAAATCACTGAGATGCGTCGACGCTCTAGGTCTTGAACTTGGACTGGGCATGATCTATGGACCGGATGGAACAAGCGGGACCGTAGTGATCGGTGGATCCGTACCACCATCCTCCAGTTGCCATTATCCACAGATCATCATTGGAAGCATGAGGAGGTTGATCAAATTGCGAAGACTCACGTGGTCGTGGTCCAAGATTGGGATTTGCGTGCATCGCACACAACCTCGGCATGCTCTCAGGGCCATCAGGGCTAGGTCGGTTGCCTGGAACCGGCTCATGCACCCTCATCCCAGCTTCCAAGGTGGGTTCATGTCATGGTCCCTCACCTCAGATTCCTGTGGACCAGGTTCATGTTTCCCTTGGTCCCCTTTCTGTTTCACCATGATTCATCATCTCCTCTCCGCAAGCTACGAAGGCTGAAAGGGCAGACATGCCAATGGGTGCAGCCGCCTTGACCCCCGGATGGGCCACCAAGCTGCTCAACGCCGTCATAGCTGCCACCACCTGTTGTAGCTTCTCGGAGCTGTTGCTGCTGCTGGGGCACTTTGTGAGACCCACTGCGAGTCTGAAAGACTCGCAGCTGTTGGCCGTGACCACTGCCTTGGTGAGAAGGTCCGCGCATAGCTCAGCTCCAGGAGTGTGCTCAACCCTCCATTCCTTCGAGGCCAACCTTTCACGAAGCACAAAGGACCGGAGACGCAAATGCCTCGTCCTTTAAGGGCCGTCAGGTGACATCAGCAGCTGGGTGCCCGGCAGGTTATCACCCTTTAACAAGGAATCCCCTTCGCTCACCGGCCTGTTGTTCTCGAGGATGTTTATGACCACCTGGAAAGATTCACCCATCGTCACAGCATCCACGTAGCCAATGAGCTCCGACTGAGTGTTGCTCAGAGCTGCACAGGGGTTGCTTCTTTGACTCCCACTGAACCAGTGCCCTTCCCCACATAGCCAAAATCCCTTGATGTCCTCGTAGACCTTGTGTGGAGCATGAGATGCATCGGAGAGCATAGTGACATTCGCCAGAGCCGCACGTCGGTCTCTAGGATCTGCGCCACAAGTCCCATACTCCAGCGCATAGTCCACCGTCTCCTGAACATACGCTAAGACGCGTGCCGCCAGCTGCAACACCCGTCGAGGACACTTTGTCACCAGACCAGCCCACTGTTTGGTGTTCCGCCCAGAGAAGAGATGGATGACGATGCCCTTAGCTCGCCACAGCCTCTTCCGTTGATGTCTATTCCAAGGCAACGTGCCTTGGACCTCCTTCCAACTCCTGCCTTGGCCGTTCATGTACCGCCATACTTCAGGGGGTACGTTCGGAAATCTTGACGCCCACCAAGAAAGCTGTGCCTCGTCGAGGTCAGTGGGTCCAGGCCTTTGCATCTTCTCCAGGTCACCCAAACGTGCCAACCCGGCATCCCTATCCATCACCGGACAGCCTCCCCGCATGTGACACTGCAGGGCTCCCCTGGTGTCATGGTGGATTGTGCAGCGGTCGCGTCGCCAGGTAATCTTGTAGTCAGCTGCTGCCAACCATGAAAGTGGAATGATAGGTTCAATTGGCTCTCGGCTCAAAAGGGTTTGATGCTTGGGATGGCGATACAACACCACAGTGCCACAGGCTAGATGCACCGTCGTTGGAGTCAACTCGCCTTCTTCATCTGGGCGAGCTTGTCTCAGCCCATGCGTAGCCCCACCATCCAGCAAAGCCACTTCACCCGGAACTCCAAACTGACCTTCGCCAACTGACTTGATGCGCACCGCCTTCAGAGACCTGATTGACTTCAGCAGTCCCGCCGCGTCCCGCATCAGCTCAGCTGCAGCTTCAGTTGAAGGTTCTCCCATAGGCTCTGTAGTTGTTGAATCACCACCTCGTCCCTCATCACCTGCACCTCCATTGGCCACGTTGGTCGTCTCCTGGGGCTTTGACTCGGATGTGGCCGCTGATTTTCCTTTTGGAGGATCACCAGATTGACCCTTAGTGGGGGCCTTTGGGGCCGCCTTCACCTTGGCCAGCTTTTTGGTTGAACCTGAATCACCATTGACTCCACTCGTAGTGCAGTTGATCCCTTGGCAGTGCATTCCCGTCGCAAGTGTGCTGAACTCCCACAGTTGAAGCATCGACCCTTCATGTCGGCGGTCTCATGCAAGAAGGTGCAAGATGAGCCCCTCTTGCAGCCCTCCGTGGTCTTCCAAAACTTGCAGGGAGATTTCGCTGAGCTTCCGTTGGTAGCTCCAGTTGCAGCGCCAGTCAGATCAGCTCCAGACACTGCCTTCAGCGCCGTAGTTGTAGTTCCACACCTGCAGTGGTGGTCTTGAGGACTAATGCCCAGGCTCAAGTCCTCAGCTTCAGATTGGAGGTACTCCGCATACTGTTCTATCGACAGCGCCACCGGACGTACATCCACCACCAGCTCCTGTCTCACCGATGCCACCCTGTAAGACAGTTGTGCTCCACCAATCTTCCCAAGAGCGTCAGCAAAGCGATGCAGCACCCCACACAAGATGACTGGATCAGGCAAGGCCAGGTTCAGCTCGATCGATCGGCTCATCAGCCTCCTCCAACGTCGAAGCCCTGTCAGAAGATCAGCGGCCCCACCAGTCACCTTCGGCTCCGTCAGCTGTCGCAAGATGCTCACTCGTTCTGAGCCCCCACCCGGTTGGAAAATGGTCCACAACCGCGGTACATGATTCCGGTCACGGTCATCGTGCGGCTAGCAATGAGGTGCACTACCACCGGTTGCAACACCATATTGACCAAGACTAGTTACAGTGCCACCCAAAGAAGCTTGATGAGGAACTGTATGTTGTAGAGTACCAGAAAGCCCACCATTGACCACCAACTGATGCGGTGAAGTTGCAGGTCCCTGCAACAACGGCATTGGAGGAATCCTCCCACCTGCAGGATCTTGACCGCTAGACGCCGTGTGATAGGATCGGACTTCTCCTTCACCTTCATCACCTCTCAGCTTTTTGGCTTCCCTCACAAAGTTCTCCTCAGCCTTGCGGACAATGCGAAGCCTCAGCTCCTCCAGGTTCTTTTCCGGCGAAGGCTGCGAAAGAACTCCATCTCCAAGGGCCGAAGCCACTTAGAAAGAAACGCCAAAGATAAAAATCACGAAGACCAAACATACAAGCCCTATGGACAAAGGTAGACAGCGTACTGAACACACGTCCTAAGCGATAGAAAACTCGAGGCGCAAGCGACGAAAAACCCGAGGCACAAGTGATGTGCCGACCCACAGTCCTGCTGCAGGACGAGCTTCGCACAACTGTCGCGGACAAGGAGCTGCCACAGCGGCCCCCTATCGTTGACAGTCAGCATGCCCTTGATAAGGTAAGCCTTAGGCAAGGTGCAAAAGGGAAACCGACGGCATAAACGATTTTAGGCATAATCATGCATACAAGCCCGATACACAGAGAGAGAGAGAGAGCGAGGGAGGGGAGGGAGGGAGGGATGGATGGATGGATCGATCGATCGATATATGTTTATATACAAATGTGAATTTGTTTTTGGAAACCTTCTTCAACCCGCTTGCCTGCCCCCCAGAAAACCATATCGTGAAAACAAGCAAACATTTGTCGATCCATCATTGATACTGCAGGTGAAGTTTTAAGCATGTTTTTGTGGAATGATCAAAATACGTCAAAATACGGGGTTTCTAGCCCTTCTTGACCAGGCGCTGCATTATCTGCCGTGACAATCCCGCGGAACTGCGGGGCGTCATACAAGATGCGCTCCGCAGCCCGGGTCAAGTCATGGCAGGAAGTTGCCAGCAGACCCATCGCCTTGGGTGGGCAAAAGTCTGTAAGGCTTCAAGGGTACATCATGAGGATTTTACATGGACGTATATACTTTTTTGACCCGCTTGCTACGGATTTTCATAGGGGCATACTTTTTGAGGTCCTGGACGTCCACGGGTAGTGATATATGGACTGCAGCAGGACAAAGAAGTGTGATTTTTGAGACCGGACTAAATGAAAAGATCGTGTTTCCTAAGCGCTTCTCAATGTGTCATCTTGAATCTTAAGATTGCGTGGAATTTTGAAGAGCAGGACCAAGCCCACATCCACAACATACCCAGCTGCTTCTGCAAGTCCCACGCCAATTTCGGACCAACCGTCCGTGGTCTCCCGACCGTCTGCCAGCACCTGGTCTGGGGCGATCACTATGTCAGCCCCATCTGGCACGCGGTGCGTGGTTGAAGGCGCCATGAGCAGGGTCAGGCGGGCAAATAGGCCTTCCAACGTGGCTCCCTGTGCCGCCATCATGGCCTGAGTCACGGGGATCCACAGCTAAAATGATGAC